TTTCACATGTTTTCGTAGAAAAGAGGCTATTTGGCTTTGAAATAAATACCCTCGAATAGCCTGTGACACGAGCCAGTTTTGTTTATCTACGTACTTTCTTTCGCCTTCCACGTCTACAAACGCCACACAAACATCTCGTCTCTCATCAGTTAGCTTTGGAATTCAATGATGAATACATGGCAGTGTGAGTAAAAATTAGTGAGTTTGGCTCATATGTTGCACTGCATAGAATTCAGCAACTCCAAGGATGAATGAAAATTATTTTCATTACACACAATTCTCAAAAGTATCAGATTCTTCGGCGCCGAAAGAAATGGAGAAGTAGGATATTGAAACTGAGCTGACACTTAATGAAATGTTTGAGAAAGTTTATTAATGAACTGTCCTACTGTACTATCGGAAGAATTCGTTGCAGTAGTTTATGATAATGTGTGTACAGCCCCAATTATGGCAGACAAAGTTATTTTGGAGTTTGTTCAAAGCTAAAAATATATCATTGATGCAGATTCTGATGACGAAATAAAGTGAATAATGCAGTTTCCTGTTTCCCACCTCATCCGAAATGAGGAACATCATAAAAAGTATGGACAGTTATTTAGACGCACATTCCAATGGTGAAATGAATAACAAAATGTTTGACATTGAACAATTTGATGCTAAAAAAGACAATGCAAAGAAAATATCAGATTATTTCCCAAAACTCAATAAATGTTTTGTTTTTCAAAAATTGAAAATTTTGTATTAAATTCCATTAGTTCTTGTGGATGTTTTGTTTCATTGGTTTTTATTACATGCATATATACATATCTATGTAAATAAATGTACTCTAATAAGCTTAATTTTGTTGAATATATGCTTTTTTTTTTTTTTTCTTTTCTTTTCAATATTCTTTAACACGAAAAAATATTTCAGTCCCCTCAGTTTTGTGTTAAATGACTTTCACTGTATATCTCTTGTTGCACATAAATCCCTTTCTTACATAAAATATAACTGTAAGTATAGAATAACTAAATAAATTGTAAAGGAAGTTTAATTAGCAACTATGAAATCTTAAAAAAGTACATAGTATGAAATTTATAATGGCAAACATTAAAAATAGATGAAAGTAAATAAAATTTAAATTATAGAATATACTTTATAAAATTAATAATAAGTGGTTAAAAATATATTTTTTTTTTTAATTACTTAAAACATAGAAGTTATTTGGCAGAGATTGTTGGATATGAAATTACTACTTCAAATTTTCAGATTACTATTGTTCATATTTAAAGTCTCAACTTGCAGTCTTAATCCACATAACAACCATTGTAAAAATCACCCGTTATCATATTCCAAAGATCAGCAGCATACATTTTTTTCAAAATCGTGCATAATATTAAATATTGGCTTTTGATAGTCAAGTTGATACAAATAAGATGAACTGTTTTTATGATTTTAGACTAGTAGTTTATTCTTACATTCACTTATTACAATATTTCATTTTTTATATGCTCGGCTATCCAAAATTTCAAGAGCTTTCCGGATATTTTTTTTGTCGAGTTTTTACTATACATACATTTCAGCATTTACATCGTCAAAATTACACAGACACATACTTGAAGTGAATTTACTTTTACAGCTAAACACAGGAACTGGAAAACAAAAAGTACTTATTCGGAGATTGTATTTCTTTTTCGTTCATGAAAATCAAAGTTCATTACACAAACATGCATTCACACTGCACAAGCATGTATGGAAATTCTTAATACATTTAGTAAATCCTGATAATTGATTACGCATTTAATAAATAAATCAGAAAATATTTTAATGTATAACAAATGAATAGTAAGTAACTAGCTTTAGTTAGTAAGCTTTTTTATAAAACAGAGCATAATAACACAGTTACAAAGATATATTTAATGTTATAAAGTTAGGTAATTTAGTAAATTTCAGTTGTTCATCAAAGCAATGAATTATGAAGTTCCTTGTGTATCTTTATAAATGAACTTTATTGCTGTTTTAAGCAACTTGAAACAACTGTTCAAGTTATTTTAATAATTTTGAAATATATACACTAAAAGAAACAATAAAATGTATTAATCTATTTGTCAACCTTGATTTTGGCACGAAAGTCTGCAGAATGCTTCGTAGTTTTTAAGCACATAGAGGCACTGCAATTCTTTCTTATTCCTTGATCTGAAGTTTTCTGCAATTTTTTTTTTTTTTTTTTTTTTTTTTTTTTTTATTTAAATTGCTGTATTGGCACACATATAATTTTTGTATAGTGGCTTCAGATGTGGATAAGTTTTTCAAACACTTTCGTTTATTTTACTGGCGTCGCTGAATTTTGCGATGAAATGCAGCACATTTATTGCCGAGTATCACCTTCCAGACTTTTCATACTGTTAATGTATACATCAGCAGTGAATTATTCTCCTCTTTCCTCAAATACACTACGGCGTTAAACAATAACCATTCACTAAAGATTTTGCGTAAATTTCCACTCATAATAATTTAAATTGCGAAAATCTCACAATTAGCACCTAAACACACTATTCAGGAGCACAATTCTTTCGAAAGCGCACCGTAGTAGTCAAAAGTGGGGTAGGCGTCTTGCCAAACTAGTCGATATTTCCGTGACGTCAAAAATTTGAAAAGTGGGGTAGGTTTGGAAATACGCGTCTCGGTTAGACTAGTTTTGTTTTACTTTATTTAGCTAAGGCAAAAGTATTATTTTCTTTAAGTGTAAAAGCTAAAAACAAGCATTTTTCTGTTGGTCGAAAGACTAATTCTGTTATGTTAAAGCCAAAATTTGGCCGAAGATAAAAATAACTTCGTATTCTTGTATTAATAAGAATTTTAGTTTCATCAGTGCCGCCAGCTTGGCGAAGAATGAGTAAAGTAAAAATTTATTTTCTCTTATTCATTTTATGGTAAATTGTAAAAATCATATGTATTAAAATTTTGTAAATGTACGTAAATACTTGAATGTTATGTAAAAGTAGAATTTAGTCTAGAAGCATAAAATTGTAGATGCTAAAAGTAATGAATGCTTAAAAAGCAATGAAGTTCAAAATTTAAGTATTAAATTGTAGATAAAGTCATGCTTTAGAGCGAAAGCCTGCATGTTTAAAGATGAATGAGGGGGAAGTTAGAATGAATGTGTTTTGTAGGGTTTCTCCACCTACATTGAATTTTAAAGAAAGATTATTAAAGTAGCTCATTGAGTTGTAGAATGTCGAGTAAGGTGTGTCTATTTGGTCGTTGAATTCTAACAAATCATGGTGGTTAGGGGAAGTGTTGTAAGACTAAAACACGAATATTCCCGTTTGACACCACACACATGGTGTGGAGAGCCAGGGTAAAGTTAAATTAATGCTTGAAAAATTGAATGAATGTGAAGTAAGCAATAACTAAGAAAAAACGAATCGTTTAAAAAACAAAAAAATTTATTGTGTCAAGAAAGTGTAAATTATAATGTATTTAGAAAGATACTGATACTTATTCCTTCCAGATGCTGGAAGGAAAGACCAAGATTGATTGATGAAGTCCAGGAAAAGTTGCTGTAAGAAGAGAGCTTTATAACGAGCAACAGAATTTTAGTATACAATTTGTTACATAAGATTTTTTTGTGTAAACGAGGTTCTCGCCAGTTAGTTCAGAATTAGAGAAACTTACAACAGGTCGTTTGTAGGACCTGCTTCCAAGTTTTCCAAATTCTGGCAGCGGCAAATGTAGGGTTTATATTTATTTTAACTAACATTTATTTTAAGTTTAAACTATCTTTCCTGTCAAGCCTTACTTTCCCCTGGAACTGCCAATGCCAGAATATGTAAATTTGAGTAGAACGCGCAAGGATTCAAATTATCAGCGGAAGTATTATGATTTAAATAGGAAGGAAACGAGTTCGGTGTGTGATATTCTTACTTCACGAGCGCGGAGGTAGTTAGCGAGAAATTGAAGAACCCCGCGTTTCGGCCTATGTGCTTGGCGGGAAGTAGCGTTAATCGTTCAAGGTGAGCTTCAAGTCTGCTGAATTAGCAGCGGTATTGTAAAACGCGGTGAGTTAGTTATTTTAGAGAGCCTCGTAGTTAGAGTCTTGTCTTTAGTTTCTTTTCAGGTTATTATTTTTATTTTTTGACCGCCGAGTTGGCGCAGTCTGTGAGCGTCAAGAGCACGCAATTGTAACTTTTTAAGTTGAAAAAAAAGGGACTTAAACCCTTCACAAGACTCTGTGTTTTATCCAGTTTTCACAGTCACCTCTTGGTTGCGTGCAAGTTGGAGGCGCGCAACGTTACAGTCTCTCCAATTATACCCCGAAGACCGAAAAAAAAAAGGAAAAATTTCCTTATAATCCTCTCGAACTGAACGGGCAACTGAAGGCGAGATGGACCCAATCGCCAAATGCAGGTAGTGACGAATTATCATCCAGCATATTTTTAGTTTGGATAACATTTGTAGAATCATTAGATATTTTTTGAAGCCGAGAAACATCAACAATTAAGGTTGCCACTGCTGGGTCGAATCGTTCAACTGCTGGCCGCAATTATCCCACGAAGGTGCGTGGTGAGGAAGAGCAAACTTTCTTCAAAATAATTTGCAGTAAGAACGCGGCTTCCGATAAAATTACAGTATGCAGTTTCTCAAATCTGTGTACTTACCAATATAGCGTGCTGGGCAGTGTTCCTATGATCTGGTGCAATAACGAATTTTAAAAAGATATCATGACTGTAGCCCTTTCTGCGGAGCTGAATGAGAGTGTCAATCCAGTTGAAGGAATTTTCATTCCAACTGCCCCCTTCCAGCAACGGCCAGCCACCAAGATCATTCAGAATGTTGTTCAGTGGCCCTTTTTCCGCTTTGTCGAGTTTTTCTACCAGCATAAAACGGTAAATGAACGTTAAAACGTTAACAGATAGAAAATATATTCTTATGCATAGTTATATATTGGAGTTGTATATAGGTCAAATATTTATTTAAATTTTATTCAAATGTAACTATTCCGATCTGAATAGATACTTAAAGGCAACATGTTGAATAAACCGGTTGAAAGCATATTCAGATGAAAGAAAATCTTGTCTTAAAAGAATGAATAGTCGCAAAGAATCTTCTTCTGATTGTGTCTTAAATTTAGGTGGAATTCTAAGCATTAGATTATTTGTATTGTATTTGTTTGATATGAATTCTGGTTTATATAAGGGCTATTTTTAAGCATGCAATAAAAAAGAAATAAGTAAAACTTTTGGAAAAAGAAAATTGCTTTCTGAATTTACATACAATTCTCTACTTTCCTAAACAATTTTTTTAACAATTGCTGTAACCAACAACGAGTTTTTGAAAACCCTACTCAAGAAGCTGTGACAGTGTGATGACAGCTGATTGTTCACGATCTGGTGATCAATATCAAGAACTTTTATATTTCTTGTTAAGAACCAAACGATGAGTTATAATTCGCAGTTGGGAATCCTAGGCGCTGAATTTTGTTAAGCATTTTAACCTCTCATTACGAAGCCTATACATTGATCTCGTGAATCCAGATGGATTTAGAGTCTGCTCAAAGAATGTCGGCATTCAAAGAGAACACTCATTTTCATGCACGTGGGAAATTTCAAACAGCATTCATAAAAAGACCTTACTTTAAGATAAGCTACTTTATAAGGGTCCTTCAAATGAAAGTGACATTGCTGTAATAACTCCACCATTTGAAGAGACAGATGATTGCGCATGTACCTATAGAGGGCGCTGAGTGCTGGGATTGCATGGGATATCGTCAGATCTCACAAGATGCCTGTGTGATAGCGTCGGAGCACGTTAAGAGGCATCGTTGGTATCATCGATGCCTCTAAACGGTGTCAAAGCTCGGTCATACAATTTTTAACAGCGGGAAATGCGAGTGATTCTCAAATCTATCATCGAATGCAAATTGTGTATGGCATGGAGTGTATGAAATGCAAACCGGTATTCCAATGGTGTAGGGATTTTCGATTTTCGTAGTGGAAGAAGCAGTACTGACGACAGGGTCAAGCACCAAAGAACCTGGTCACCACAACCTGGTCAAGCACCCAAGAAGTGTGTGCACACTTCCTATGCTCATAGACATTTCCTCCGTTATTTCTTGAGTGGCGATTCACCGATTGATTTTCACGACACGGTCCACATCTGCAACTGCTTCTTGGATGATCGCCACGTGCACTTGACCAGATTGTGCATTGTCGTCAGTACTGCTTCTTCCACTACGAAAATCCCTACACCATCAGAATACCAATCTACATTTTACACACTCCATGCCTTATACAGTTTGCATTCGACGATAGATTTCAGAAGCACTCGCATTTCCCGCTGTTAAAAATTGCACGACCGCGCGTTGATACCGTTTGGAGGCATCCATCATGCAAACGTTGGCTCTTAATGTGCTCCGACGCTACCACACACGCATCTGGAGGGATCTGAAGAATGCAATCCCAGCACTCAGAGCCCTCTATAGAGCATGCCCAGACATCTTTCTTTTCAAATGGCGGAGTTATTACAGAAATGCCGCTTTCATTTGAACGATCCTCTTATATATATATATATGTACTATGTACAGGGTGTATCTAAACAAGTAGGCAAAACTTTAGGAGGTGATAGAAGGCAGCTATACAAACAATATTCGTCATAGAATGCATGGTCGGAACACAAACGGTGAGCCTCAAGGTAGCATTTCACATGGTATAATAAAAGGGTCGGTCTTCGCAACCTAACTTCATTTTCTACCTTGAATTGCCGAGAGAATGTCTGGTTATACAAACTACGAAATTTCCAGGGCGATGAACTGGCCGAAATGGTCCCATAACTTGACCACCAAGATCACTGTAATTCTCGTGTTTGGACTTTTTCCTGTGGGGTGTAAAGAACGCTCCTGAACTCTACTAGAAAGACCTATGATGCTCTTGACTAGAGAGAACGTCGTTAGCAAACTCCTCACACTACGAGTACTATAATTCATTTTTAATTCACCTTATTTAAAAAGAACTGTGAATGGCAACGACTTAACTGAGAATTACGCATGCGTAAAGAGATGAGACTTCTGTTGAGACGCCTGTGAGAGAGAGTTTGGGAAGCTCCGCCAGCGAGCTGGAGATAAAATTTGTCCAGTGATGACGAGTGCTATCTTCGTTAACGTCTCTGATTGTGTCACCAACTCGGATATGTACTCAAGTTTTTCTAAATGTATTAATTAAATGTTGTATCTGTGTTATGTTGTGTAATTAAAGTGATGCATCACCAATACCAGTGTTGATTCCGTTCCCACTGAAGCATCCACGACGTCACAGACGAAAAAAATAAAAAAAAATTGGAGGTTCCACCTAGATTTTGTGTGACAAGAGATCAGGTATGTGTTCTCCACAATATTCATTTCCCAGGCTCTGATAAAGTATAACGTAGTTATTTATTACTTATTCAGGAAATCAAGTTCCCAAAGCAAGAAGTAGCACGTCAGTGCATACTAGTTTAAACACTCAATGTGTTTGGTTTATATATCTAACAAGATATTTTCCTTTTGTGGTATATTCGGGAAAACATTTTCCCATTAACACGTAGCACATCAGTGCATTTTATAGCACGTCAATGCATAAGGTTTTTGAAAACAATCAAAAACCTTATGTTAAACAGTCACCTCTTGGTTGCGTGCAAGTTGGAGGCGCGCAACGTTACAGTCTCTCCAATTATACCCCGAAGACCGAAAAAAAAAAAGGGAAAAATTTCCTTATAATCCTCTCCAACTGAACGGGCAACTGAAGGCGAGATGGACCCAATCGCCAAATGCAGGTAGTGACGAATTATCATCCAGCATATTTTTAGTTTGGATAACATTTGTAGAATCATTAGATATTTTTTGAAGCCGAGAAACATCAACAATTAAGGTTGCCACTGCTGGGTCGAATCGTTCAACTGCTGGCCGCAATTATCCCACGAAGGTGCGTGGTGAGGAAGAGCAAACTTTCTTCAAAATAATTTGCAGTAAGAACGCGGCTTCCGATAAAATTACAGTATGCAGTTTCTCAAATCAAGTATTGCGTTTATATATCTAACGAGATATTTTTCTTTAGTATGATAATGGGGAAAATCCATTCCCGTAAATAAACAGCACATCAGTGTATTTATGTTTAACGTTTCGTTATAAATTGGTGTGATAGAATCTGAACTGTTTATTTTGTGTATATGTGAAAGCACATCAGTGCAATATTGCAATTTTCATTTCGAAGTCATTAGAAGAAAATTTATGTTAAATTCTTGTGAAAGAAATAAGTTGTTGAATATATTAAAAACTTGTTACTTTTGTTTTCTCATGAAAGCACACCAGTGCTGTATTTTAATAGGATGTGTATTTTCTGAGAAGTAGAATGTTAAATTCTATCATTTCATTTTTAATTTTGGCTTAATCCTAGTATCCGGTGCATACGGGATTTGGCTTCTTTTGGCGACTTTATGATGAGCAGTAAAAACGAAACATATACGATGAGTAGTAAACGTGTCATTCAAAGAATATATATAGTTATACATAGTATATAGTATGTATGTAGTGATAATATATAGTGTATAGTATATACATAGACGTTCTTTGGGTCATTTTTGGCGTTAGCGATAATTTTCAAAATCCCGCCAAGGCTGCACCGTATACTAGGATTTTACCTTAATTTTAAAGCTTTGAGCAGTAAAAAAAAGTTCTAATAGTTTTCTGATTTTTAAACCTGCGCCTATCGAATTTACGTAGTATTTGCGTTGGCTATGTGGTTGCCAGCGGAACTAGATGTCATGAAAACGATAGTTAATTAAAGGTGTTTATGTTTATTGGCGCCACTCTGGTTTTTTTTTTTCTGTCTGGCTGTACTAAATGAAAAGAATTTGTTATTATTTTTTTTATACGAAGTATTCAGTAAGTTGTTTATTTTATTTTTTATTATTTTTTCGTTTTATGTTTGAATGGAAATAAAATCCAAAATGATTAATAATGCTTTTATTTAAACCTTTTATTTTTATTTGCCTAATTTTGTAAGAAAGAAGAAAGTGTTTTTTATATTTCTGATATATTTTTTGTGAATAACTATTTGAGTTCTTATTTGTTTTGAGCAATTACTTTTGTGAAAATAGCATTTTTGGGAAAAGCTAAGAAAAGGGATCTATTCCTTGTCGCTTCAGAACTCGGGGAAATAGCTTTAGAAGATATGAAAGTGATAGATTTAAAACATTTAATAACGAATAGTAAAAATCTAAGGAAGAAAATATCAATTGATGATCTTATGCAGTCTTCTTCAACTGTATCTTCTCATTCTCAGTCTGCTACATCAAGTCTTATACCTTATTAAGTGTACCTTTTAACTAATTAAAATTCATCATTTCCTATTTTATTCATAAAACGCAAAATAAAGGAATGTGAAATGTATGAAATTCTTTGAAAAATGACATTTCAGAGGGTTTTTGCAATCATATTGCCCTTTTTATAGTTATAGACTTAGAAGGCAGAGAGCTCGAAAGGGTTTTGTCAAGTCCTTATATTTTTGCTGCCGATTGCGAAATTTCTCAAAGTAAAGTAAAAATTTTTAAGGAAACAGTTTTAACCCTGTGGGTCGCAGGATTCTATAACTAGGAAATTGTAACTTTCTGTGCATCTAAAAACCTCAATTAGTGCTTGAATAATTTAAATATAAACTTTTCATTGTGCTTTGATCATTTAAATTTAATGATAAAAGAGATTTGGTTTTAATTAAATTATTAAATTATTGATGATTAATTTTAGTTGTCTGATTTTCAATGTGCTTTTATTATTTAAATGCAAACCACATCATATCTTTGCTTTAGAAAATTCGGAGAAGTATTTGCAAATAAATTTATTGATTTTTGATTATTTTTCAATTAAACTATTTCAATATTATTTGAATCTAGTTAAAAAAAGAACTACAAAATAAAATCTACTTCACATATTCTTATTTGATAAAATAGCGATTGTCATTAATTTTCTAGTTGTTTCTGCAGAAATAAAATGTTACTATAAAAAAAAGAAATTCTTTATTTAAAAATTATTTTTGCCCAATTTAGAGAGAATTTTCATAAAATTATCTACGATTGTTTGAGAAATATTGTGATTCGATATTTTTAAGTTTAATGTAATTTGAGGAAATAAAGGCTACAATGAATACTTTTACAGTATATTAAACACATTTCATAATTTTCAGTATAGCTACTGCTACAAAGCATTTTGATTATTTCCATCATAATTTAAATATACAAAGCAATTAATGACAAGTTAAATTTGAAATTTGACTTACGGATATCCATGCATGTGTCATACATTCTTTTTATTGTCTGAATGAAATCAGGTTCGGATCCTTTCAACTTCTTCTCTAAGAGAACTAGGTATGAATAAAAATAACATTTATGTTGTTGAAGCTATATAGTCTTTCTTTATAAAGTAATTCTCAATGTGTTAAGTCAAGAATTTGTATTTTAAAAAATGAATCAGTTAATATACAAACTGCAAAACAGCACGCCAAACAAACAGCTGCATCCGAAGACCGTTTCATGTCGCGGTCGGCTCGAAGAAGTAATTAAAGACTGCAAGGAAGTTTGTTTACAAGTAGATCTTCAAACTACCACAACTCAATTCAGCCTTTTCTTCTGCTATACGAACTTTTCACGAGGTTTGCTTTTAGGATCGAAAAAAGATAATTTATATTGCTCTCATTTACTCTTTCAGAGGGGTGTGCTGGAGATGGTGTCCTCCTTATATTCAAAAACTACAAGAGGAAAGGGATCGTATGCTTTTTACTGACAACTCTAAATGTAACCTGGTTTTAGATGTCTGGAATTTCAAGGTAGCAAGGAATACGCAAATGGCCTTCTTTTGTTCATGAAAGATTTTATTTTTGTAGACGCCGAGTAGAATAGATACAAATGGCTGCATCGAGCTGTATATCTTTGATGAAATCTCTAGAACCATTCACAGATGAAACCCCATGTAAAACCATTTAAATGTTCTGTTGGCACAAATTTCTTCTAATGGTGAACCATGCTTGTCCGTATCTAAAACCTTTGGTACCAGAATGCTTGAAAATAGGAGATATCACTCGAATGGATTGAGCCTTCTACGCATCAATTATATCTCGTTTGAGCGCATGTATGATACCCTACTTGCAGCTAAATACCTTTGCTAATCAAGATATACAAAGTGCGCTTTAAGAGGAATAGTATGCGGTTTCAAAAGACTTGTTCCAAAAGAAGAGTTATGTAAATGTCATAAAATCGAGATTTCAGAACTGTATTTCGGTCAGAGGGGGAACACACCCGATACCAATTAATTATAGGCTAATTTATACTAAAATTTTGACCAAGATTATACGTACATTACATTATAAGGTATTTCTCCCGCTTTCTTAGCATGCCTTCGTGGTGTAATGGCCAGCTCGCTCGACGCGTATTTGAGAGGTCCGTGGTTCGTGTCCCGGCGAGGGTATTGCTCATATTTCATGTCTCCTGCTTCAAAATACCTAATGTCTCTACAGCGGCGCCCGAACTAAAAGGTGGTGGATAATGATTCTCCTCTACCAAGATTTGGCGATTCGGTCCCCTACTCCCCAATCGCCCTTTAAAAGTGGCAGCACACAAGGTATTTCTCCCGCTTTCTTAGCATGCCTTCGTAGTCAGCACACTCGAAGCGTATTTGAGAGGTCCGTTGTTCAAGTGCCGGCGCACTGCTCATTTTTCATGTTTCCTGCTTTGAAATAACCTAATGTCTCTACAACATGAATAATTTGAATGGAAAAAATTATTTTTTAAACAAGACAGTATTTTCATTCAATCATAAATTTATGTTTTAATGACATACTGAGTTTTAAAAAATTGTTAGGACACGTTTATGCAAATTAATTTTAATAAATAATAACATCAAAACTCTAAATGCATTAAACTTAAATTATAAAACATGGTTTACTTTTAAGGTATATACTTATTTATTTTTCTGCTCGTAAGGCATTTGAAAGGAATAGAATTAATTGACGAAACCTAAATTTTTCAACGCATTAGCTTTGGATTGTACTATTACTTCAGCATTTTACTATTATAGCTAAATTAAAAATGATATATGTCAAATTCCCAAACAATTATTGGTAACATTTGTAAATTTGATATAAATTTGCAGCTAGAAAAACAAAATGTATTGAATTTGTGTGGAAATGATTAATTTAACAGATTTTGTCACTGTCAAATATTAGAGTGTTGAAAAATTCAAAATGAAAGAAGGTATTGGGGAAATCAAAAATGTTTAGTAAAATATAACAATCAAAATTTTAAAAATCGAAAGCTGGATATTCCCAGATTTTAAGCAGAAGTTTATTAATCATGCAAGATGTTTATTAATCAATAGACTGTATAAATGAAAGTTATATATATATAGGAACAATGCCCGGTTGGAAAGTTTAAAATTCTGTATTGGTAAACAAGGGGAAAACTTCAGCTTTCTTTCTCAGAATCTATTAGCAGTCAGAAACAAGAATTCTGATTGCTGAACAAAATAATATTTGATAAGAGAAAATAATTTAATATCTTGAATCAAGATGATCATGAATTAATTTTCGACTTTCTGAGAGTAAATAAATGTACAGAAAAGGCGAAAGATAATTTTGAAATCTGATGTTATTTCTGGTACCAGAGAAGTTGGAAGAGGAGCTGTGATTTATTTGCATACGTTGCTTATTCAAGCCGTGATTTGTAGAAGCATATTATAATTTTAGAATAGAATTAGAATTCATCGGCACAAAAGCCTGAAAAATTATTTCCAATTCCACCAAGATCCTTAGCACACTGCTTTGAATATGCAACTTTGGATATGGTTTAATATTTCTAAAATGCTTAAAATATTTTCTCAATGCACAGATAAAATTTTTTCGAGCGTATAAAATTCTAAGTAAAATATACTTTTATGAAATAAAAATTGATTAATACTAGGTAATTGAAGACTAGTTAGATGTAAATAAGAAATAGATTAGTTGAATTCATACAAAAAGATTACACTATGCTATTGAAAGCTAAGAATAGTTCCATAAAATTTTTTTCATTTTTATTTGACAAAATTTTAAATAGCCCATCACTTATGTGACTTGATTTCCCTTAAAAAATGAGATATTAATTTTTCTGCTTATTATTTTATTCTTGAAAAAATATTTTAGATAAAAAATCGCTAGATATATATATATAATGGAACTCATACTTTAGAGATTCAATAAGTGCATTTAAGTTTTTCGAAATTGTTTTTGGACATAAAAAGTTTCAATCATTTTGTGTTTAGAAGTATAAAATCTTCTTTTGGGAGGCTCAGCAAAGAAAAATAATTCCATTTTACATATAAAATAATTTCCATTTTACATATAAAATGGCAACGGGAAGTTTCCTCGGAAAACATAGCTGAATATTTACATAGGATCCTAAATAAAAATATTCGGAAGTGCTTTAAACCACCATCTTAATCAGGACTTCCTCCTCCCCCTCAAAAACATCACAGAATCACTAAATACTACATTTATATATTTACAATCTTCTATTTACATCAATTTACCAATTAACATTTTAACATTATAAATTTATAAATAAACAGTTTGCAATTTTATAGGTTGTTCTGCAACTAACTTAATATCTTCAGCCCTAGGCAGTCGAGTTGTCTCTTTTATGAAATTAACTACTGAAACAGAAGGTTTCAACAATCGTTTTATCCAAAAATTTGAACTCAAACAAATGCAGGATTTGAACTTACAAATTAAATCTCCGACAGGTGAACTTAAAATTTCAATTAAATAGATGCTTTAAACTGCTATATAAAACACCCTAACAAGCATCTATCCAAATTACTACGTGGAGCAGTTAATTGCGACTAGCAGAATAGCTAATGCCGGAGACCAAAGCTGGGAGAGAGAAACGTGCCCGGACAACATTGCTGCAAAAAGCTCTCTGTCTAAACTTTCAAGAACTCTGACTTAAATACCCGTAGCTCATTTACAACCTACTGAGAGCCAAGGATACGAAGAAGTGACAGCACAATTCCAAATTATAAGAACATTTATTAATTAATATAAAATATATTTTACAGTTTGTTGTGTATTGCTTTACTTCGAAATTTCTCAATGTTAATCGATAATGCTTTCTCAGATTTTCAACAGAATTGCTATCTGCACGTAATTGAACTTTTAATTGATTTGAGAAAAGAATATTGTTGATACAACGCATTTTGACTAAATTTATAAGATAGACTGTAGATGTATAAGATATTTACAGCACAATGATTTTTTTAGATCTTCTTGCATTTTGACCTTATTTTTCTTTTTCGAAGACTAAATTTCCATGAGTGTTAATTAACAGTTCATTTCACACCGACACTGATAATCAGAATACATCACTTTTGCATTTTATCTGTTCATATATAATTTTATATACTCGTTGCGTAAAATCAATCGGATGTATTTTTCGTAGATGAATTTTTGGATGCGATGGATGGATTTTTTAAAATACAGTTTTATATGGATTCATAAAATTTTATTTTGGAAATCTGGCATTCGCCAATTGAGCTTTATTGCCAAATTTGGTTATTTTTCGCAATTTGTTTAATTCCCTGTCCATAGAATCCCATTCCCTGTCCAGCAGGTAAATTTTTTAATACCATTTATTTCTAGTCGACCAGATTTATATGCAAGTATACTGTTTTCAGAAAAATAAAAATTTAGAATTCAGGGCTGTTAGGCTTTCCTTGTGAGGCAGCTAAAATAGTATGTTTTAATCGAATAATCGGCTTTGCGTTAAGCCCAACAGTGATCCTAAGCTAGCCCAACAGTGAGCGAGCGGTCACTGTTGATAATCATCACAAACTGACTAGCTAAATACCTCACTAAAATAGCTAATCATCACAAATTGATGCAGATTCAAATTCTGGTGAACGGACTGGCTATATGCGCGTTTTCGTAAGTTTCCCTAAAATGAATGCGAGCTACGTTGACAGAAGAGACATGAAGACAGAAACCTTAATCTTCCGTATGCCATAACTTCAAAAGACAGATTATGATCGGAATGACTCCTACACAAGATAGATTATGATCGGAATGGCTAGCTATTGCAGGAATGACTTGCCATTTTTTCAATTGCTTATAGCTTTATTTCTTAAATATCCATCTTTTATAACGTAGAAAATAGAATAATTCTGCATATTATGCATTATGTAAACATTTAAATATTTCACATTATGAATAACCTTGTTTCCTCAAAGCTATTGATTGCATTTACATTCATAAACCTCGTGAAAAATTTAAATGCATTTACTAGCTTACCTCTAAGCGCAAGTGCAAGGTCATCTTGAACTTCAGTATGAACGGAAACGTGCACTTTATCCTCGAGCAAATCATGTTTGCTGATCCAACCACCACAGGCGAACTGGTAGAAGTCATCACAAGGGTCCACATTCTCATTCAAGTTTGATAAGATCTCAGCAGCTAAAAGTAAGCAAAAACTAATAATGAATGATAGATAGAACCCGTCGTAATGTTGTTTACCTTTTCAAATTCAAACAGAAGCTCTGAAGACATTAATTAAGCACTTAGAAAGCAGACACGATTGAAAAATCCGAAAAAGGAATTAATTAATCTCCATTAATGGAACATTTTCGTGCTTAAGGAAAATGCCATTGGCGCTTAACTGTATTCCACTAAACAAACATCAAAACAAACATTCAAGTGCGATTTGAAATAAGAATCACGCTGTCTATTATATATATTAGATCCTACGTTTTAGTTTTTAATTACATCAAGAATCATGTTGTCTAATTACATAACAGATCCTTCATTTTAGTTTTTAACTACATCAAACTATAATTCAGTCTACATTATGCACGGCTTATGTTTCATTTAATTTGCAAGCAATAATTAATGAGTACAGTAGTTTTCTATTTTGTTGCTTTATTATAGAGGTGATTCTAAATTGTTTTTGCAAATTAAGAGGAGTGACAGTACTCATCCATATGAGTAATAATTACCACAGACCATAGGGTTGCATTCCACTCTGAGAGGCAGGAAAGAGGAATATTAGAATTCCAAACTAAACTTACAACAGTGTTGGGAGCGAATGAACGAGACCAAAAGTTGCACAATCAGTTTAGTAAAAAAAGTTACCGAGAGTGCACAAAATGGATAAAACCGAAAACTTGGCATTTGAGTGTTAATTCGAGCTCAGACTTTGATAGCAAACATTCAAATGCACATCTTTGGTTGGCAAGGTATCAACATCGCAAACTATTGCAACAAGTTAATTACCTAATCAAGTGCTGAATATTGTCAACTAACTCCAACTTCCGCTGTATGACGAGATTAACCTGAAAAGTTCTTGTTGTGTTCCCGCTGTCAGAATTTCGTATCCCATACAACGGCGCTTGAAGTAGAATGAGCGCAGTACAATAAGTCCAGGAGGACAGAATAGATGATGGCGAAGGGAAAAAACTGCTAACTTGATACTTGATATCAAAGTAGCAGTCTTTTCCCCTAATAGATAATTTCTTCCTAATAATTTAGCCTTTGGTCTCGTTTGTTTGCTTTCCCAACACTGCTCTAAGTTCAGGCTGGAATTCTAATATTCCTCTTTTCTGCCTCTCAGAGTGGAATGCGACCCTATGTTCTATGGTAATTATTGCTCATCTGGATGAATACTCTCACCCCTCTTAATTTGTAAAAACAATTTAGAATCACCCTGTATATTATGCTTCCGTGGGATTAAAATTGTATGCATAAGGTCCAGTGGAAAGGTTTGTCCTATAATGTTACTTCAAGTTTCATCATACACGCAGGAGTTCATTTGAGACATATATGGCTTTCTCTCTTTTCACTGCATTTACAAACATGTCTCTAAGAGGACTCGTACACCTTAAAACCCACAAGATCTTCGAATATGTGACTGTTGCAAGAATTGGGATAACTTATTTATTTTAAAAGCAATTACTTCCAACTTTTTACAGCTGACTACATAATGTAGCTGTTTTCTGAAATAGTAATCAGAAATTTTGTGTTGCCATAAATATTTTTATACTTTAATCTGCTTTGTGACATAAGTTTTCGTCGTGTTTCCACCTTGCGCGCACAGTTTAAAACATTCTGTTGCATAATTTAATTCCATATTTAATATATAGCTTTTATAACATTTGGAAACTACTGTGAACCAAAAATCCTAAGAATTTCGTGTTAAATTTTTATTTTATTTGGGGTTGAGTTTATAAAATGTATTTTATTAAAAGAAATCTGTAATAGTTTCGTGCATAAACTTTTTAATTTAAAAATATTCATTAAATTTTTGGTTCAGTTAAAAATATTACCCATATAAAAAATTCCATTAAATTTCAAGTATGTAGCATTAGTCATTTTTAAAATATCATGCGCGCAAAGTGGAAACATGACGAAAAATTTTGTCACAAAGCGGATTAAATTCCAAAAATATTTGCAGCAACAAAACCTTTCTGGTTACTAGTTTCCAAAGCAGCCATATTATCTAATCAGCTCTAAAAAGTTGGAAGTAATTGCTTTTAAAATAAATAAAATATCTCAACTCTTGCAACAGTCACATATGCGAAGATCACAAGGGGGTTTAAGGCGTATGAGCCCACTTAAATTAACTGAACCCAAAGTGTCTCATATCATTCTTAATCGAGATGTTATAGGTATATGGAGTTTAGGATAGTATATGCAGGAGATGGTTAGAAAAATCTGAAGCAGGCGACTTCCATCTTAATGATAAGTCACGTTTTGAGCGGCCATTTGTGACCGACGAAAGACCATGACAATATCCTTTTTTTGACAATATTGGAGATTGCGCAAAAGTTTAATTCAGCTCAACAAACCATTTAGGACCATATTCGGAATTTAGGACTGATCTAAATATTCCAGATGGATGCCTCTTTAGTTAAGTAAGAAAAATGTGCATAATTGAGTCGTTATATGTGCATCTCTACTTGCTTTGCTTGGAGAAAAAAACGAACCCCTTTTGGATTGGATGGTGATGGGGATAAAAGGTGGATTGCCTACGAAAATATCGTTAGAAAAAGAGCATACTGTGAGCCCAGACAACCTATCCTCACGCCCTTTAAACCAAGTTTGAGCCTAAATAAAAGAATGCTGTATGGGATGTCCGGACAAATATATTACAAGCTTTTGAGACCGAAAGAAAAGCTCAATTCGGAGAGATAATGTCAGCAAATGAGCGATTAAAACATAGCAGTAGAAACAATGACCGGCAATGTTCAATAGGAAGCACATCACACCTGCATCACGATAATGCTAAATAACATGCTGCTTTGGTGACTTATCAGGAAACTGCAGAGCTGGACTGGGAAATTCTTCCGCATACACATACTTCCCATCCCTAGCGTCATCCGATTAACACTCAGTGCTATCCTTACAAAGCTTTGAAGGAAAAAAATTCAAAACTGATGATGTCATACAAGCACTACTTGCGTTCTTTGCCTCTAAGAAGAGGTTTTTTTTTTTTTTTTTTTTTTTTTTTTTTTTTTTTTTTCCCCAAAAATAGTATCTACGAGTTACCAACACACTTGGCAAGAGGTCATAAGTAACGACGACGGCAATTGTAATGTGCAATAAATATTATTAAAAGTAACGAAGATGTATTATGTTCTTTCATATCCCAAATGGAAAGATCAAGACTGATCAAAAATCTCTACATAAAATAAAAAAGAATTTGTGTATTATTTCCTAAGTACACCAATGGCCGCACTGGATAAAACCGTTGAACACTCGTAATTTTACCTAAGTTCATATCCCGATGAGCGGGACGGCTGTTTGAGTATGTGTGGAGGTTTGGGATTTTTCGCTGAATGATTCGTTGTTTTTCGCTGTATTTCCTTAAACAAGTCTTCCCCTTAGAAAACCTTTTCTTTAGGAGATAGTCCTCGCGTATTTTATCATAATCCAAAAATTTCCTTAGAAGTTTTATAAGGTATTTCTCACACCTTCTTAGCGTGCCTTCGTGGTGTGAAAGTAGTACTCTCGGCGGGTATTCGAGAGACTCGTAGTTGGAGTTCCTGTGAAGGCGTTGCTCATTTTTCACGTCTCCTGCTTTCAAAATAACCTAATAGCTCTACAGTGGCGCCTGAACTAAAAGGTGGTGAATTATGATTCTTCACTACCAGGATTTAGCGATTGGGCCCCCTAAAACCCCAGTTGCCCTTTAAAAGGGGGAGTATATAAGGTATTTTCCGCACCTTCTTAGCGTGACTTCGTGGTGTGAGGGTAGCACTCTCGGCGCGTATTCGAGAGGACCGTGGTTAGAGTCCCGGCAAAGGCGTTGTTCCTTTTTCATCTGTTTTGCTTCGAAATAACCTAATCTCTCTACAGTTTCTCTAGAAAGACATTCCCTTATTAGACATATAGCCCTCTGTTGCTCTTCAGCATTCGATTACACAAAGAATATTATTTTTTAAGCTATTTGTAAGGGTATATGATCTGCAAGATTTTAGCGGAAAATAATTCAGCCCAATTGTTGTGAAAGGCTTGGGTGTTTTTCGGAAATAAATCTTTCCAATTTTTTGAAAGCAAAAGTTGCAATGATACAAGTTGTCATTGTTAAGCAAAACATTTATAACTTTGATTACAAACTTCACAATTTTGTAAGGAATTACTAAAAATTCTGCATTAAAAGTTCGTTTTAATGTGACTGTTATTAGCTAGTTATAAAAATGCTAGAAAAAATTAACAAAATTTTTTTAGTTATCCATTTAACGTAAATACTGAGTTTAAAACCTCACATTTTAATGAAAATATGCATGTCAAAAGTATTTTGAAGAAAATCTGAAACATTTATGATATAAAATTCTTTATGTCTATCTTAAGATATTAGTTGCAGTTTAAAATCGTTTACACAATCGCAATGGTTTGAAAATAATTATCAAATATTTGAATATTTTATTTAGACCGGAGCTTTCATATGAACAGATTACCGAATAATGTCACAAACGAAGCAATAGTAAATACTCAAAGAAGTTCTAAGAAATCGCTTTCCCAGTGCCTTCGAGTTCTTCAGCCTTCCTTCGTAGTTCAGCCAGTGCCTTCGAGTTATTAAGCGATGATTTTGAGTACTCAAAGACCAATTAAAAAAAAAAACCTTTTATTTACAGAATTAATTGATTCACGTGAATTTTCTTTACTTTATTTCTTCTGACCCTGTTTAAGTATTATTTTGATCATCTTATCAGCAGTATCAGATTTATAGTATTTTATATGTATTTCGAGTCAGCTCTAAATTTACACTCTGCTTCTTTTACTGGCAAGCATATAATTAAGTTGAAATTTTACATATTATGGAACCCGTATTTCTGTCGATATATATGTTTCGAAGGAAAGAAGTGAAGAAATGATGAAAACGGGAAACGAGTAAGCCGGGATAATCTGATTCATTGTAAATAAGCAATATATTGCAAATAAATAACATATATTACTTTCAACATGAATACAAATTTTTAAAATCTACTTTTAAGAACCAGATCGTGCACTGTCCTTTTCTTTCTTGTTAAGTTCTACTTGAACTGAAAATGTAACTGTGTAATGTTTAAACTTTCCAAAAGTTAAGCACGAAAATGTAAAATGAAAAAAAAAAAAAAAAAAAAAAAAAAAAAAAAAAATTAAAAAATACTGCTTTGGTTGACACAAAATTCGGCAGGAAAGAATAAACAGCATAAAATGAAAAAAAAAAAAAAGACATTAATAGAGTATGTGATCCCCTCCTCATCTGTATACAAAGTTTACACCTAGTGACCATGCTTTTAATTAGGTGGTCAACTATCTCAGAATTAAGCAATCGCCATTTTTCTTGTAGAGCCGTTTCCAGCTCAATAAGAGTGGCTGGAGGTGGGAAACGTGACAGCACGGCCGAGAGCATCCCAAAGATTTCAATGGGATTAAGGTCGGGCGAATATGCTGGCCACGGCATACGCGCAATCCCTTCACTCTCCAGGTAGTCATCGACGATGTCAGCTCTATGGGGACGTGCGTTATCGTCCATTAAAACAAAAGCAGGGCCAACTGCTGCAGCGTACAATCTCACAATGGGTTCATCTCGATACCGGACAGCCGTCAAAGAACCCCGTTTAAAGATGTGCAGGTGCGGTACGGTATCTTAATGAAATCCCTGCCCACACCATAATCCTTCCGCCTCGGAATGTGCGTGATGTTTCGGTGATGTTTTGGGACTGATTTGCGTGTTCGTTGTTCACACCATATCCTTATTACGCTTGTCATCTTGGCTCCAGAGCAAATCTTGACTCATCAGTAAGCATGAGACATTGCCCCAATCAGACACATTCCAACTGATATGTTCCCGGCACCACTGTAATCGTGCCCCTCTTGATTGGACAAATAAATAGAGGAACACAAACTCAAGGTACCCGGGCATACAGTCCTACTTTCATATGTAATCTTCGGCGTACAGTAGCTGCCAGATTATCGCCTTACCAATGGACGCTGTAACCATAGATGTCACACGTGTGGAGGTCGCTCTGCGATTCCGCTTGGCTACAATAGCAATATATCGATCTTCCGCGGGGGTTGTAACCCTTGGGCGACCGGCTACGGGCCTTCGGACAGCTGTCTGTAGAATTGTTTCCATAAACGTGAAATTACAGAATGATGAACGCCGAAGAGCAACATCTGTGATCGACTGTCCTACTTCAATCCGCCCCACAGCACGCCAGCGCTCAGAATCTTCTATTCCTTTTCTGGAAGTCGTAGAAACACGTATGTCTTGAAAACAAATTGTACAAAAGTTTTAAACACCTTGTATCAGCACTTACAATCAACTTCTGTAACCTTTCATAAAGCTGGCTTCTTATAAGACTGCCTTTTTTGCAAATTTCCTGACAGGAAAGCGCAATTGGCTGTTACCTAACATATTTACATACTTCCATCTACCTCTGCAGTGATTTGCATCCTCTTCAATTCTGATTGGCTTCCGGAAATTAGCATTTTCCTCTCCGTGCTTAATTTTTGGAAGTGAATGAGTTATACTATCAATTCTACTTTTTATCAACTCTAACCAGGATATAAAGGAGATATATGTATATAAGAACATAGTTCTTGAAAATTAGGGTACTTTCTGTTATCGGGACCGGATTCAGAAATGTATGCATGCATGTATGTATGTGTGCATGAATTTATGTATGTGTGTATGTATATGTATGTATGTGCATAAACGCAGACATATAAATGCATACATACATACTACATACATTCCTGAATCCAGTTACAATAATAGAAAAGTACCAAAATTTGAGAAAGAGTTTTGGAAGCAATGCTGCCCGTTGTGCTATTTCCTCCCCCAGTTCTGAGAATTACTTTATCCGGCCTTAGTCTTTCGCCATCCGAGTTGCTCTTGCAAATTTCATTTCATTCATTGTCAAGCGAAAGGTAAATGTACTTGCAAAGCTCTACTCTAAACTACTTTGAAATTTAATTCACCTTTTGTGCTATCTGAAATCCCGCGAGCTACATACATTTAATTTTGAGCACAAATCCTACATTTTTTTAAGTTCGAAGTTTTAAATAAAAGGGTTTGATTAGGCCTTCTTCTGTGCTGGTAGTTTGTTTTGCATAGACGGAGCGATATCTCCCTTGAAATTTTCAATAGAGACCGAGTAGTTAACCTGAATACACAGTTTTAAAACTACTCACTTAACTATTAGGTCTCTCACTTAACTATTAGGTCTCAGTAGAGACCTAATAGTTAAGTGAGTAGAACCCTAGAACATTTCGAGATTTAAAATGCTTTCATGGTCCGCATCGCTTGCAATTTGTGCAAAATAAAAATGCTGTATTTGCCCTATTTTCGCTCTAATATGATGCATGAGAGTAATGTTCCGTCGAGAATGCAATTTTTAGACGACTAATGAGATTAAATGTTAGTTTGGGAAATGATGGGTACAGAAATAAATAGTGTTATTCGTATGCAGTTTTATTCAAGACCAAAATCACCGACCTTACTTAACGAGGAAATGATTGCTGCGGAAGCATGATTCTATGGTATTTAATATGACTTCCGGAATGAAATAAACTGCAGATATAATTTATACTTGCTTTTCCTCATTCCTTAAGATTAAAAGGTATTATTTGAATTTCCAACTTAACGAATTATAAACACCTTATAAGGCATTTCCATTAAGAAAAAGGCTGTTATAATTGTGAAATATCATGTTAATAAAAATTCATACTCAGAAATATAAAAAAAATTGTCTTCAAACAGTTGTACCGTTAATATCAGCTCAAAAGCCCGGAAGAGTACAAACACGTAAATCGGTTTTAAAACTTATCTCCAAATGGGGTCAGCAAAATTTAATGTGACCTTTTTTTCAGAGGTGATCGGCAAATTATTTTTATTTGATATAGCTACTTATTTACCTCAGTACTTTAAATCAAGAGGGAAAAATATACATTGAAACTGCATTCAATAATCCATGAGTGACTGCCTTATCATGGAATTTAGTGTCAGAGTAGATCTTTTCAAGGCTTTATAGCTTCACAGGGCACTTAGAAATAATATAAACCGACAAGCAAAGAGCTATGCTTTTGTTAGAAACGGAAAATATTTTAAAGAGCAAGAATAGAATGTGCAAGCGCGGCCCATGAAAGACATCCCTATATTTGTGGCTTCTTGCAAAGACAGCTCTTTTTGGAGTAATTCGTAAAAGCGTCATGCTGCAGAGCAGAGGACTGCAGATTCTATCCTCACTTGGCAGTAGAAGTACATAAGAACACGCGCTTCACGGACGCTGTTTATTGCCAAACATCGCCATTAAAATAATTAACTAAGATTAAATCGAGAACGATTGGTTCACTGCACTAATCATAGAGAGTGCCACGAGACCGGTTAGATCTTACAACAACCACCAGCAACAGAAAATCTTAATAACTCCACTGAAAAAGCAAGCAATGTTATGCAGTTTTAAGAAAAGGATGAATAACATAATCTAAAAAATTACCTGAACTAACACATCCAGGCTGTAAACAGATGTCGTTGTGAGATGTATCGTTGAGGACAGACACAAGAGTAGTTACGTCTTGTGGAAGGTCAATCACGTCTTCTGTACCTGTAAGATAGCATTTTACTAAACTTTGAGTTACATGATAAAAACAATGTGTATATAATTTCATTATTTCAGATTTAATAACATACTAACGAAATAAAAGTTCCAGTACCATATCCACTCAATATGTCAAATAAATTCTTTTTCAATTTAATCCGTGTTACTGCTCTCGTAGGGAAACAGAAGGCCTCCCGTTTTGAAATGTGTTTATTTCATGCTATCAATGATTATTATAGCGAATGCTATGGAGCATTTGCTATAGAATTAAAGAAACAGACAAGCTAGGTCTTTCTTCTTGGGATGTTAAATTACACTGAAGAAATAAAAGAAAAGGCTGATAGTGCAAATTTAATACGAAAGATGTCAGTAAAATTATTTGCTGAATTTCCGTAAATAATTTAGAAAAACTAAGCTTTTTTTTTTTTTTTCTTTTTTCTCAAATACGAATTTTACTATTTTTTTTTTTTTAAATCAAAATTTACGTTCTTGTTAGTTGTTTCTTTACTATGTTCACGCAGACGTAAGTGTAATTGCAGCTGAATTGCTTTCTGTAGTCAAACTGCAATTAATTAAAAATTGTACCACTTTACTCTGATCACACTTTAGTACCGTACATTTAGAAACTTATAGCGGGCTTCTACGAGATTTTATGACTAAATTCATAAATAGTTAATAGAGCAACTTTATCATAGCTAAACCTTCCAGATATCTTTCTAAGTATGCTATGTATCTCTTCACAGGAATTCTGAATGCCTTTCAACAAGTCAGCTTCTGGAACCTTCTTTCATACATTTTATAATTTTTTAATTCTTTATATAGTCTAAAAATGTCCTTTAAATTAAGTTTTTTTTTCCAGGAAATAAAAAGAAGAATCACTCGATGCTCAGTCTGATGAGTAAAGGGATGTCCGCTCCCCCTTTCCTTACCAGACTAGGCATAAGTTACATCTAGGCTGTTCTTTGTAACAACTATTTTCTTTGTAACAAATATTTTCAACCAGTTAAGTCTGAAAACAGTTGATTTCGACAAAGTAAAAAATTCTCAATTTTTTAATTCATTGCATTATATTAACTGACATAAAATCAAACGTTGACAAGTCACAATGTCTTTATGCTCTTTTTTTCCGGAAATTCTCAGAAGCTCTTCGCAGCCTGAGGGCTTTTGCCTTCCGAAACCTTCAGATTTACACAATTGAAAATGATTTTTGTTCTTTTCTATATTCTATAAGCAAATCATGTATGAGTGTGATAATTTGGGAACATTGATTGCAATTATGATACATGTTTCAGTACACATAGAAGATATGTAATGAAGAATAAATTTGGAAGTATATAGATACAATTATATGCAGTCTAGTAGATTTAAATCATATTTCTTTTATCTTAGTTAAAAGATTTTGGGCTTACAAATAAACTGGTACACTAATTGTGTCTGTTTCAGAACGTTTGTTTACATTTTTGATATTTTTACGGTAAGAAAGCAATGCAGTAGCAGTCCAGCTAGGCCGAAAAGCAGGTGTGAAGTATGCTCTGTTCATGATGATATCTTAATTTGGAATGGATTAGTTTCTATTTCAATGCATTTGATTGGGTAATCAATAATGCTCTAAAATGATTATTGGCTTTTTGAGTTTTATTTCCTTTTATGTTACAAATGTTATCTAAAATTCATATAATATAGAATAAACTACAAATGACATAGTACAGAAAAAGTTATTGTAAGCAGTTGCTATTTTTAGAGAAGAGAGGGGAAATACCCAAATTAAAATGAAGAATTAAGGCGCTATTCCTAATTTAAGTTGTAATTTTGATTTATGAATTTTTTATCTTATATATATATAGCAGGGCTCTGTGTGGAAATATTTCTACGACTCCTACAATGAAATAACAACCAATAGGTGAAGACCTGTCATCTATCATCTGTTCTTTTTCATAGAAATTAACGCTAAGAATTATAAGTTTTCATTTTCGAGATGATGATATTTCATTCATCCCATGTGGGATTTTAACATATGCCGAAATTGGGGCAGATACAGAAGATACACTTCCATCACAGAACAGAGATGAAGTAGAACTGCGGAAAGGTTATAAAAGCGGGAAGGTGAAGAAAACAGAAGAAGGTGCTAAAACAATAAGTTCCTTTTTAGAAACTTTTGAATTTTCCCTAAGTAAGTTAGGATTATTTATATTTTTACCATATATTTGACTAAAGAAATTTATTAAATCTTTTATTGAACTTTATCAAAAATTTATTGAACTTTATTAAATCTTTGTGAAACTTAAATATTTAGTTTAAAAGCTTAAAATTGGATAAAATTTCTTATCTTTATGCTCCATGTCATTAATTTTTAATGACTTGCTTCTTCAAATTTGTTTTACCTCAAAATTTTTCCCACAACCTTCAAGCTGGAAAACGACAACCTCCAAAGAAGGAGAAAAAGCGTCTGCAGAAGAACCTCAAAACAGATGGAAAAATCAGGCATTAATTCACCCATCAGGAATCAGTGGTGCATCATGCTGAGTTCGAATTTCATTTTCATGTGGTTTACAGAGTAAAATGTTTTATTTATTGAGCCATTATAAACACCATTTACCAGGAAAAGCAAAAGCCAAGCAGCATAGTTCTGCGTTTAATTACCCAACATAAGGCTCTAAATTCAACTTCCTTAAGAGGCCGATGTTCTTTCAGCCGTTCTTAAAGTAAAAATGAGTACAGAACAAATATGTGTGACCTTGCATAAAAAACGTCCGATTGAAACGCTCAATCATATATCTAGAAATGAAGAACTGCAGATGAATCCTATTAAATTATGTGTTTTTGCCAAAAAATGGCAACACATTTTTTAGCTAATTTACTGAATGGTGTAAAAAAAAAAAAAAAAAAAAAAAAACACTACAATTGTCACGAATACATTACGTAGGAATTTTACTAGAGTTTTGTTTTAATTTTCCAGAAATACATTCCATAACATGTATACTTATAAACGAAGACGCAATCACCATAAAAATGCTATACTGCACATTAAAGCAGGAAATATTTAACAGTTTGGATTTCAGGAATTCACAACGTATGGTATAGCAGTTAGTACAGAAGTTTATAAAATCAAAACCTAAAACAATTTTATTAAGCAAAAATTTCAATTAGAGTAATACTTCCAAAAAAGTGCTTCGGCCCCCAAAATAAAAAGGAAGATTTTATAATAACTAATAACAAACGCTGAATATGGAACCACCATAGACTGTCTGCCTGGTTTAAGTAAAAGTGAAGACTGGGCCGAATTATAAACAATAACGTATAATAAACGCTGAATAAGGGAGCTATCATTAATAAGACGACTTTGAAGATGAATCAAAGAGAATGCTTAAAAAATGCCTGAAGACAAGCCAAAGATATATAGACAGCGCAGGTACGATTTCTGCAGAAATCATTGATGTCTTCTTTGCCCAACGTCTTTTCACACAGTAATTAAGTTATGGCATTTAGAGACGAGCAACGCGATTAGAAATTTTCCGAGAAACACTTTTCTTTAGCACTAATTTTAACGAGAATTTTCTAGACACAAGAGTTGCATTCAGTGGTTTAGCGTACGTATGTACAATATTTTAAGATTCGGAGTAAGAAAACTGCACTGTCAGTACTGTCTCGCAAAGGTCAAACAAACATAAGAAAGTTCTACTTTTAAAGGATCATGGGAAATTTTGAGAATGGTGATGTCTGTCTTCCGAGTCGTAAGTGCTGACATCAACATAATGGCCAGCCGTTTTCCGGCTATATTCCATAGCAAAAACAAGTTTAAAATATTTAAAAGTTACTGAAATACATTTCCATGAACTGCGAAATGGACGAGTGACCGATAAAGAATGGGATTTGAAAACGTCTCTTTCTCCAATGCAAGCAATAACAGATTTCTGTTTTGCAGACAACTCAATTTATTGAGGTCATTTCATAGAAATTGTTAGCCTAATGTGTTACTGAGGTTTGCTTAGCAGGGCTAGTAATGTTGCAACTTCTGATGATTTGAGAATAACTATGATATCTGGTAGTCAATAATTCATGTACCCGTAGATCTGGTTGACCTAGTTTGTCAATTAGTTTTCAGTTATTATTTCAAGATACATATAACACCATTTAATAGGCGCATTTAAAGTAAAATATTTGCAAAATAAAAGTAATCAAAAATTTTAAATTCTAGCTATTTTTCTTAGAATCTCGTGAATTTTGTGCTTTTGCATTTAAATATAGTCCATTTAAATATAAGTTTTTAAATATTCCTTATTTTAGCTTATTGATGGCTTTAGAGATACACAAATTATGGAAATATTTGTTACGTCGGAGAACAACAATTTAAGCCAATGCCGCAGTTTCATAAATATAAGTTAATGATACAGTTTTTAATATCCTGTCTATCTTTTCTACCCTCTGCGTCTTTTGAGGAAAACATAAATAAAAATATATGAATATTATCTACTTTACCACAACTGGGCGCCCGACAAACATCAGAAAGAGAGGTGAAGTTGAGCGGTGACACAATGCAGTCTGCATTTTGCGGTGTATATAGGTTTAGACTGGGACCTGAAAAAAAAAAAACTTATTATAGAACAGAAAATCATATTATATGTAGTATATGTCATAATTTAATACATAGGAGGAATCAGATACTAGCTGACAGTCTTTTAGAGTGAAAAGGCGAAAAGATGACGCTGAAACAAATGAATTTTGGAGAAGTTCCAGACTTTATTTTTCACACACATAAAACCACCTTAGTAGACATGTATTCAATCATAATGAAATACGATAATTTTTATATACACTGGTTTTAAAAATAAGACGTAAGCATTTAAGCAAAGTAAAGTGGTGCGGTGTTGGCAGAGCAGAAGTTTGGGAAAAGATGAATGACATAGTTATTTGTGAGCGGTATTTATAGCGAGTACATGCAGAAAGTACTCTAAGTTATGATTGGTTAATTTTAGTTACCTTTTTTTAAGCAGCATCAATTTGCGTAGGAAAAAGTGGGTATTGACGTTCGAAACCTGTATCAAGCACTTTGTGAATGCGTCGATGTTTTAACTTTGATTCATTTATTTGCAGTCAATAATAGCTCAAAAGCATTACTAGAAACTTCGCCTGCTGCAATATCTACAGACGGCGTCACAAGAAATGAACAAATAATTTACAAGGTTGTTATTTAAATTAAATAGTTGTCTATAAATTCAACTTTTACTATAGCTTCCTCACCAGAATGTAAATGAGTTAGATAATATCTAAACTGATGTTTTTGGATTGTAAGGCAGACCGTGTTTCTGGCATGAGAGGATATGCTACGTTTAGTTCCTGTCAGCTGTGATAGGTGTAATTATTCGGCTTTGCGTTATCATTTCCGATATTTGCGATCTGATACTCCGAGACATTTACTGAGCCATTTTAGAGTAGGATTTAGATTGAGTAGTCTTTGACTACTAGTCTATATTTTAAATTACATTTGCTGTTACTTTATTTGCATCACCACGAGCTTTGGATGATTTTATTAGCACAAGAACGTGCCTTTATATGTTCTAAATTCTGTTTAAATAAAAAGATTTATTGAAACATTTTCCTCGCTTTGTAATTACGCCCGTAGAATGAGACATATTCAACTGTCCCATTTTTATTAATTAATTAATTAATTTTTGAGAAATGTGCATACAGTATAAATGCCTCTAAGATGAACTACAATAGTGTTTACAAACAAACTATTAATTGATTTTCAAATTAATTCTTTCATTCTATAAATAGATACATAAAAACGAGAAAAAACTTTCTATTTATATAGAGCGTATTTTATTCTTTTTAATGGATTTTTAATATTTTGAATTGCGAATTATTCTAAATATCTTAAAATTCCTGAAGAATTTAAGCGATATCTATATGGCCTAAAACATTTGCCGGTTTATTCTCGGACTCAACTTGTATGCGTGTCAATAATTAATAAAACTAAATTTAGAGAATGAACTGCAATGTCTTTTAATCGTGTTTTTTCCTCTACCATCATTAAAAATATAATATAATTTTATGAATACTGAACTGAAAAGTCTTCTTCTCTCTAGTTTAAAATAACCCGACTTAAGTTGTATTCCAGTGAAAAAATGGAATATATGAAGAAAATTGTATAAAGTTACTGGTCTTAATGCGATTATATTCAACAGACAAAAACTTTCAAATAAATTTATAATGTAAAATGTGTTGGGTATCTTGACCTGGGAAGAATTTAAAGTATATTCATTGATTTTTCTGTTCACTATTTATCATTTGCTTATATATATATATATATGTCATATCATAAAAAAAAGTGCACATGCTTTTTAAATATCTTTTCATATCAGTATGTGGAAATCGTAGTATTCAAGCGAAACATATATCAAAATGATCTTAAATTATAATAAAAGAAATGTTAATAAACAGTGTTATAAATTAGAAAAAATTTTGAGTTTGGTTAATCGGTATGTTTCAAAAGACTCTTCGAAAGAAGAAAATATAAATAAATTTTAACTATATAATTATATAACATAGATAGGTACGTAAATATTACGAATAAAAGTCGTAAAAGTGAATACTGAAAGTTAGAAGGCATGGTAAATTAGAATTCAAACATATCAGAATACAGTTTAAAAATTCTCAAAAATAAATATTGATTTATTATAGACAAAATAAACACCCGTAATTGTTAGCAATATACAAATTTTTAAAAGCAAATAACTTTAAATAACAATATGCAAAAATGGTAATGGAAACATAATAAAAGCTCTTACATGTAAAATATGAAGAAATGCAAACCAGAAGTCAGAATATAATGAGATTCGAAAACTAAACTGAGATGCCTGCAGTCAGCACTCAGCTTTCTATGGCGTTGCTATTGTAAAAAATTTCTGAGCTTTTCTTGTTTTGACAAAATATATCTGCTGTTTGAAAGAGAGGGTCTCATAGTAGTCTCCTTCGAAATGCAAAAGTGTCTCTGCATAACTGACTTCAGTATAAATTTGATAATAAATTTTGATAATTCATTAATTTGAAAGGATTTACATGATAACCCTCCATCTTTTTAGAATTCAGAAGTTTACTGATCTGTTGACGGAAATTAAAATGAGTTTTACCGGGCTGAATTCAAAATAAGCAATACCTTCTTCTGATGGTTTTGTTAACAAGGCCACTCATACGTCTAAAGGTTTTAAATAACAATATCAAGTGGATGTGGAGTATTAGTTTATGTATGATATAAATTAACGAAATTAAGACCTCACCCGACTCGGAAATTCACAATTCCTATACTCAAAATACAAGCCCTTAATGTTTTACGTTATGCTTTTCGTAGAGTTTTGTAATATGAACATATTAATGATATCACTGCACTTTAGAATGATAACTCCAGAAAGAAAACATACGTACTACAATTTGCAAGAATAACCTTAGCATACTTGTATAAAATAAAGTTTCACTTACTGGTGAAGAGCGACAGCCTACAAAGAACGTTTGTTAAGTAGTTCATACTTAATTCTTGCTAACTGCAGCTTCTTATTGCTGTAATTAATTGCTTTTTGTTATATTGCAAATTCTTTGTTTAAGCAATAAAAGGCTTTGGAGTTGATTTCGTCACTGTAAAAGCAAAAGCAGTTCTAGTTTCTCGAGTAAGAAGCGAGAGCTGTTGACAAACCTGAAAATGATGTTCATAGATATAAGCCAACTTTCCAACTGCTCCGCCATGTAAATGCTACCTATGAATAAACGAAGATTTTTTTTTAGTTGGTTTTTTTATACTATCCAAAAACAATTGCAATTAACAGAACTGCGATTGTATTTGTATTTTATGTAACTGTATATCTACGATTGACACCAGAGTACATATGGATAAAGCAGAACAATGCTGATGAACTCACATTTCTGTCATGTAAAATGAAAACCTGACGTTCAATATAGATAGCATCTGTGCTATAAACAGAACACAAAGGCTAGAGTTGAGTTTACAGACGCGGATTGAGTAATAACACAAAATAAATGTGACATTTGTATCGTTAAGTCAATGCCAATGTATTTATGCATTGTGTAGTTATTATAGGATTGATTTTGATTGGCGACGAAATGCACATGGTGGAAGTAGAACAATGTTTAACTGACTACTCGGAATGTTTCTGTTTGAGAAGCTAAGAGATAATAAAGTAACCAAAAGCCAAAATTATATAACATGTATAATGGATTTTAAGAAATTGAACAATTATGTATGTTGAGTATCATCATTTTAAGAGGCATGACACACCTTACTCAAGAATTAATGGAAGCTTGCTATCATTACCCTAATCTAGTTTTTAATCACTTTTTTTTAGTTTTGGACATTCAATCATTCCTCAAAATCATTTCATTTAGTACTGGACATATCATTGGTTTCCTCTAGGTCTAAGACGTATACGAATCACTCTACTTTAGAAAATGAAATGCTTGAGGAACGCATCTCTGTCTTTGGACGAATAACCCTCGCCAACTATTTAAAGAAACCATCAATCTGGTTTCAGTTATATGCCGCTGTTTGTAATTTGTTAAAGTTTTTAATTTAATAAAGAAACATTTTATAACTTAAAAGCGAACTCTAAATAGCATGAAAAAATACCGTGATCTCTTTCCTATCTGCGGCCAAATAAAAACCCATTTGAAAGATATCAACATAGATAATAGCCAATGCATATGGCAGACGAGGGAAAATAGTTTCCCCATTGTTTGAGTTTATATAAAGCAAATTTTTATTTCTAACTTTTGTTGCATTTCGAGTATTTTAAAATAAAAATATCTTAAACTTAAGCATTTTATTTCAGTTTCTATAAGATACATCTATACAAGCATACATTCTCACACATATACACATGCGCACACATACAAATGCTGTATATAAGTGACGATTAAAAAGTTTCCGTTTGAAAGTGTAGCTGCACGGTGTAAGAAAATTAGCGTGTAGTCAATGCGGGTTTATAAACACCGAAAGCTTGAAATGGGATTATTGTGCGCTAACAATGGCCACGTTATAAATAAATGCATCCAAACAGGACCAGAGTACTGTCATTCCTTTTTAAACTGCGAAAGATAAAAAATGGTAGATATTCATCGTAAAAGGAAGAATGTGCATGGAGAAGCATTGCCTGTGAAAAACCACAGTTGTGGAATGGTGCTCTATGTTCAGTGTTAGCCGAGATTCGACTTAAGATATGCAAGTCGATCAGGGAGGCTATCCACTTTCGTTACAGAGAACAAGAAGCAAAAGTTGATGGCACAATTAGGGTGGAACAAGGCATATCCATTTGTGCGCTCTTAAAGGATTTCGACATAAGCTTCAATAGTGTGTAAAGCATTATACGGATGGAGTTAGGATACCATACGTTCTGCAGCCAGTGGATATTTCACCAGTGGACTCCGAGGAAAAAATCGAAACAGATAGCTGTTTGCCTGAAACACGAACTGCTTCTTGACGAATAACAATTTTATTTAACACTTGACATCAGCAGCTTCACAGTTTCCTTGAATTAAAGCAAGAATTCTCTACTAGGATATTATTCAATAAACAGAAAAAAATACAATATACATGATTCAATTAATACATTAAATTCATAGAACACTTATATCACTAAGCAAACACGGATCAGGACGTGCATGGCAACGCCGAAAACTGATGCCTTCCACAAAAAGAGATACATAAAACAAAGTCTCGTATTCATTCAACAAAGTTATTCATAAAACAAAGTCTCGTGGATATCTCCCGAAGTTTATTGATGGCATTACGTAACATTCTCCCACCTTGATTTGCCACCTTCGAGGTAAATCAACAAAGTTCGAAAGTTCAACACAACAGTCTCTTCGGTATCTTGATTACTCTACCACTTCTTGATGTCCGAGGAGCTGCTGAAACATCCTTCTAAATTGGACTGTCATTCTGTGATGTTGCTTGGCTTGTCATCAGAAGGATGTTGATCTGGTATAATGGGATCCCCAGAAGAATTAACTTCTAGAGGGTAAATCCTTTGGACAGGACGAACGAGATGACCAAGTGGAGTTTTGACTTTGACGACTCTCACATGGCCGTCCCTATTCTTCAATCACTGCAAGTGGCCAATTAATCTCTTCTGATTTTCAGAACCAACAAGGACTACTTCTCGAACTTTGAAATTTTTGTCAGATGTGCCAGCTCTTTGCACCAACTGACCTAAGTATTCTTTCCGGAATCGTCGTCTGAATGTTTCATGCAGTTCTTGGCAATAACGTTCTCTCTTTACTAGTTTATTTCTGTCGAAGTGATCAAGATCAGGCGTTCCAATCTCTTTTACATCTTGGAGAAAGTTAGGTATTGGAGGCCTCAACTCATCTGCATCTTTGGAGACGTATGTTAACGCTCAGTTGTAAACGGTGGATTCTGCGTCGCAAAAAACTATGAGCAGTTCCTCATACGTAACGACTTACCAAGAACTCGAACAAGTAGATTTTTCACTATGCGAATTAGTCTTCTCCCACCAACCGCCCCACCAAGCTGCTGTTGGGGGAATGAATTTCCAGTTAATTGGATTTAGAGTTTCAATAGCTGCTATCTTTTGCCACTCAATTTGGTTCAATGCACAAGAGACACCAATAACGTTCGTGCCGTTGTCACTATATGTCACTATGAATCTCCTAAACACGAGTGCAAAGTAATCTGCACTTAAAGATGTCACGATCTCCAAATGTATTGCTCTGTAGAACTGCGCATGTAAATAGCACCACCCAGGCTTTAGTCATTTTTCTAAGAATAAGAGGACCACACAAGTCAATTCCGGTGACTTCGAAAGTTCTAGCGTCCCGTACTCTGTCTATAGGTAAATGAATAGGTATGGTTGAAGGTGACTGTGTTGTGAATCTCTTGCAGGTAATGCATCTCTTGATTATTGATTTAATTGGCTGTCTAATTGAAATAATTCAGTATTCTTCTCTAATTATTGACATGAGCATTTGAACATCGGCATGAAAATTCCTTTTATGGTATTCGAGCACTAGACTTTGCACAATATGATGCTTTGACGGAAGCAGAATTGGATATTTAAATCCAAGTACATCGTCTCTTGCGAGAATCTTTGTTTTCATTCTTATCAGTTCTATTTCATCTCTGACAACTGAGAGACCACTTATTACATCTCCAGTCTGACAAAAACTTTCAAGCTGAACCAGTAGACTCAAAGTGTTTTTTGAATCCTTTAACTCGGCTGCAGACAAGAATTTTGCTCTATTTACAGATTTTGCCTGACAGCTTCCAATGAATCTTAGAACCCATGCTAAAATTCTTACAATTGCTGAAAATTTAGAATATTTTCATACCATTTAAGTACGTTTTTAAGTGCAGACTGCTGTGCACTCGCGTTGAGAAGATTCATCGCTCGATGAGGCCGTTCGACAGTTATCTATAGTGACAACGGAACGAACTCTATCGGTGTCTCTAGTGCATTGAACCAAACTGAGTGGCAAAATATATCTGCTCTTGAAACTCTAAATCCGATTAACTGGAAATTCATTCCCCCAACCGCAGCATGGTGGGGCGGTTGGTGGGAGAGACTAATTCGCATAGTGAAAAATCTACTTGTTCGAGTTCTTGGTAAGTCGTTACGTATCAGTACTCACACTAACGTTTAATACTACAGCTTTCTTTCTGATTTCTGAAGAAATTAATGCCTCGTTGGGTTTCATTTCAAGGCGTGGCCAACTATCCTTCGGATTCTTTAACCAGTTAGGACCCTCTCATCATGAATTCTTTAGAATTTGATGAGGGGTACAACCCCGAGATGGTATATAGGCTGGATTTAACTGCATGGCACGTAAGGCCACTAATTTACCTCTGAAAGTGCATAAATCTCTCTGACGCGATTTCCTGCAAAAGTTACCCATTGATCATCGCTCTTGATCCATGGCAGAGCTGTGGTGGAATCAGATCAGTAATGTTTTTCAATTTCGTCTAAGGATAATGCCTCTACAACATACTTCACTAGACGTACTCCTAAAACACAGGCTAAAAGTTCAATACGTGATATTGTCATCTTTTTAAAGGTGCAACACGAGATTTTGCGGTCAGAAAATTTACACAGGTGTCACCATTGTTTTCATAACGTAAGAAAATCACGGTAGAGTAAGCTCTCTCGATCGAGTCAAAAAAAAAAAAAACATGCAAAGTCTAAGTTTGTTTGTTTCAATATCCAATGCGGGCTATTTTCAAATCTGATAAGATCTGTAATTCACTGTACCATTTCAAAAAGTTTTGTTTGACCTCTTCTGACAGTGGAGAATCCCAATCTGCTTTAATAGACCACACTTCTTGAATCAATATCTTAGCCGGTAATAATACATGAGCTAAGAACCCTAGCGAATCGAAAATTCCCTGTGTTAAAGACAAAATCTCTCTTTTTGACAGATTGTCTAGATTTGGTACAGGCTTGAAATGAATAGAAATGCTATCCTCCGTTCTATCAGATAGAATACCCAAGACTGAAATCTGATGAAATCTGATTCTTGAACGAGATTCCGAATTATCATTCCTCGAAATTTTATTAGCATCGTTTTTCTAAATGTCTACATCCGTTGATCCATCTTAACTTCTGCCAAAATGTCAATTGATTTATCCATAAAAATCCTTCAACTCTTCCTCTGAGTCAAGAGACGTGATACAATTATAGACATAAAAAGAATTTCGAAGATTTTCTGCTACGTGACTTCGCTCGGC